CTCTAAAACGAAAAAAGATATTCCAAAAAGGGAAACGCCATTCTTCTTTACTTTGAAAAGCCTTTCAAATCAACAACAATTATTTTTTTACTTCATAGCCACTTTCTTCTGGCTCAAACAAAGCTCAGTCGGTCATTGACTTACTCATTATTTTTTTTTTGTCTTTGCTTGCCTTCCTTTGCAGAACTAAAGTTTGGAAGTAGAATTTCTTGTTTCTTTTGGAAATTGGAAATACTATCAAACCTCCCATATACTTCTTGATAAAATCAATAAATGTATTTCACTCATTTCGGATTTTTCTCACCACAAGAAAGTCACCCTTAAAGAGGTACCGTCCCTTACTGGCCTCTTAAAACCAGGTCGAGGCTGTAGAAGGCACAAGTGTAATAACTGGTCACGTATGTAATAAAGTCACAAGTGTAATAAGGTTTGGTCACAAATGTAATAAAGTCACAAGTGCAACAGGCGAGTCAGGGTCCAAAAAAATGTCTTGGAGCGGAAAGGGCGATTAACAATAGGAAGACCACCGAAATGTACAAGTGCTGTCAGCAACTAAATCAAAAGGATGACGAAAAGATGGAGAAGAAGTTTAAAAGAGCATTCCACATTGCAGCCCTAGAAAGGCCATTAGATGACTGCGAGAGTCTCTGTGCCCTGCGAAAGTTGAATGGCGTGGAGCTTGGCGAAACTTACTTAAATCGATCTGCATGTACGGAATTTATTGATCACATTAGTTCTGCTATGAAAGACAATCTTGCTGACAAATTGAAGGAGTGCCCCTTTTTCTCCGTAATGATAGGTGGAAGTACGGATCATGGAGTCATCGAAGAAGCAATCATGTATGTACACTACTTAGAAAAGTCCACCGGAAGACCAGTGACAATGTATCTTGGTATTCAAGAACCTAAGGCTGGAACTGGAAAAGGGTATTTAGAGGCAGTGGATTCTTGTTTCCAAAAAGTCACCAACATTGATTCAGTCACCTGGAAGCAGAAAATTACAGGTTTAGGAACTGATGACTGCGCAGCAATGACAAGCGAGAAGAACAGAGTTGTTGGCTTGTTGAGGCATGATAATAAAGAGTTTATGGGGTTTTGGTGTAAGCACACAAGCTCGAATTAGCAGTTGTTGTTAGGTTTTCTCGGTTGGGCTCCCTGTTTGTCACGTGATCTGTTTTCCATATTTGGCCTCCCACGAGGTCCGCGCGTTCAGTTGAATAAAGAGTGTTCCGCCATCTTGGTTTAGTCTTTTATTTGTCCTCCGTATTTGCGAATACACAACAGTTGTCAAGTGCTTAGAAGACTAGCCAGAGTTTGTAAAAGTATGTGATGTTCTTCGAAGCCTATATCAGGAATACCATTACAGTGCCAAGGCTCTCAGAGAACTCAAAGAGTTAGTAGAAGCGCTAGATGACCAAATCTCTAAACCAACTGTTTTTGAGACTAGGTGGTTGCTACATCTCCAATCAGCATTGCAGGTACTGTTTCAAGGCTATCGACCTTTAATGATGCACTGCCAGAATACAAAAGAAATGCACGTGGGATCGAGTGGTAAGCAGGGACAAGCAGCATTCTCAATGAAGTTCTTGACATCATTCAAAGGGTTGCTCTTTACCAGTTTTCTGGGGGACATTGCTGAGGAAGCAGCACATTTAAGAAAGGTTTTTCAAGCAGAATTTCTCACAGTCACAACTGCAACGGCAGCAGTTCGAAAATTTGAGTTCCAGTGCCTAAATATGAAGAAATCAAATGGTCCAAGAGTTCAAGCGTTTTTGAAAGAAACTGAGGAAGGGAATGTGTTCAAAGAAATTGAGATTACAAGGGATGCAAATGATGTAGCTCAGTATGAGAAAATTAAGAAGTCTAGGTTAGATGAGATTGGACAGAGCATGACAGAAAGATTCCATTATCTCTTTAATGATCCTTTAGTAAAAGCTTCGTCAGTTTTAAACCCAGACACCTGGCCTAGAGATCCTGAACAGTTAGCATCTTTTGGATATGATCAGCTTCAGATAATTTCAAGTTGGTATCAAGGGCTGTTGGAAAAAGCTGGATTTAGGGCTGAGTGTGTTGGCAGTGAATGGCAGGGAGTTAAGAGCCTTGTGAGTCTCATCAAGCACAAGATAACACCTGGCATTTACTCTGTTCTCTTTTCTAAACAGAAAGAAAAGTTTCCTAACGTCCTTCTGATGGCAGAAATTGTGTTGACGTAGCCTTTGTCCACTGCAGCTTGCGAGTGAGGTTTCGGTGCCATGAACCGCACTAAAACAATTCAGCGTTCAAGCTTGACACCCAAGACACTGGACAACAACCTACGTATTTCCATAAAATATCAAAGCCTAAAGAAGTCTGAGAGAGTGCAGCCCTTTGTCCAATCTGGTAACCTTGCAGATGCAGTCAAGCATTGGCGGGAAAAGAGTTTGAGAACAAGACGAGAGAACTGGGTTGAGAAACATCCCGAGGCTAAAACCTGGAGTTCTTTTAAAGGGGGAAAATCAAAACACTGAAACTTTATATATTTTTTTTATTTTAAACGACCAATGACCCAAAATCTTCTTTTGCGGGTTAAACTTTTAATTTTCATTTGATGTTTTTCATAACATAATCAGAAGCAATGAAGGAAGACCTCTTAGCAGTTACATATATTTCATCCAGGCTAGCAGTGTTGTTCTGTTTTGTGTTCCTGCTCATATCTAGTAAAGGCATAGAGATTACTGTGATGTCAGTACATTTCTTGAAGCTTAGTCAAGCCATGAACTAAACCAAATGTGAAACTGTTATTAGTCAATGAATTCGGAATTAAAATTAGCTCCCATTTTTTTAATAATGTTCAATTTTAATGTAAGTTTACGTTAAGCCCTGTTAAAGATTCATGGCTGCGCTACTCACAGGTGCATGACAAAAAAGGAAATTCATATCGTGACAAGGGCTGTGACAGTAATCAACAACCAAACAGATTAATATAACTAAGCTTGAGCGACAAGTTGATCACGTGAACATAGAATACATTTACAATAAGGAATGATCTGTAATTCAGAGCAGAAAACCAACGTGTTCGGTGACGGTTTAGATTTTTGGTGAGCTTTGTGACGAATAAAAGATTTGAGACGAGACTAGTGT